GAGTAATTCATAACAGAATTTTTGGATGAACTAACCCTTTAAGACTTTAAAAACAGAGTTTCCAAATGGGTTTTCATGCTTCCCTTCCATCTTTGACTTCCATTATTAGGGGAAAACAGTGATTCAAAATCGGTTGAGACAAAGTTGACAGGCCTCAAAAAGCAGATCAATGTTTCCTTGGCAGTTCTTCCTGCACATTAAACTGAGCATTTTCACGGCCTGAATAATTACAAGCATCACCTTTAAACATGGTTTCTAGCCTGACTAACATTGGCGACGGGACACAACAAGGCATCGCTAGCAGCAGCTAGGGAACTGCACATTCGGCAGGATTCCAGATGGTTACCTGACTCACGGCGTGACTGACTTTCATGTCTCACTATTTTTTGTCTTTTCTGCCTGTAGTTGGGGACACATTCACCCTTAAATTAGACTAGTCTTTCATACAGTCCATCAACTAATTACTTGTAAAAACATGGAGTTCAGCCCATCCTGACCCACTCTCTCGCTCTCTTTTGGACATCTTTTCACTCCATAACACTAACACACAGCAAAATAGCCTCTGCAGCAGATTACAATTGCACTGCAATTTTTGTCTTCAGCTCCCTTGTGAGGGCGTGCCACTGTCAAATATCTTCTTAAACACCCGTAAGCATGTACAAACACATACAAGCACAAGACGTGCATAAATTCCATGTCCAAACGCAGCGGTTTTAACACGACTCCCTCCCCTGTTCTGAAACAGCCCGCAATCCCTTTTAAGAGAAGACAAGGAGAGAAAAAAACGGAAAAAAGAGAAAAGCAGCACAGTTATGACTTCCAGCTGTGGGAACGAATGGCCCGCGAGCAGGAAGTCCAAAGGAAACGCCTTCGTCACATCCCGCTCCTGTGTTCGTTCTTCAAAAATGGGGAGAATTCACTCTCTTTTTCTGCGGCCTGTTTTATTAGTTTATTTTTCAGGATACGTGTGTGTTTTAGGCAGTGTTTTTTATGCTTTACCTCATATCTTCCAATAAATCACATTCCGTCTGGTGTTTGAGGTGCAGGCGGCCGAGCTGCTCCGTATGCGTGTTCTTCACTTCCTGTGTCACTTTTACCTGAAGAGCAGAAGACATAATTAGAGGTGAGGAAGAGGATGGCACGTGCCAGCTGCACAAACACACACAATGTCCCACATGAGCTCATTATTGTGTTTCCAGCTCCAGTCAACTGTACGAGACACGATGACAAATTCACAATCCTTCCAAACAACAAGAGCAGAATTCCCACTAATCAAAGCAGCAGACGGACAGTTTTATGTTCGATTCCTTGTATAAAAAATACAGAATGTCACTCCACTGTCACAAGCGTAATTAAAGCTCAAGTGGGTCATTTTTGGATGTTAAAACTTTTTCCTGTCACAGTTTGGCATGCTGTCACTCAAAACATTGGCTCAACCAATGGCGTGAGTTTGGGGGCGGGACAATCTGACCAGCAGTGTTCAGGGAACCTGTTGTGAAAATAGTCTTTTTTTTTTTTTTACACCTGCTGCCTGAACTGAACACACTTTAGCTTTAAACAATTCTATATTACACAATATAATGCTACTCATCTTATAGTTTAGACTAATATAGATATAGTTCTATAATAGTCTAACCTATAAGATGAGCAATCACAAACCTGATCTAGCTGACCTGGACTAACAATGATGAAGCTTTATTTTAAGTACTGCAAGTTTTTTTTTTTTAGCATACAAAAGAAATTAAAAACACACATTATTACATCAACTGAAACAACTTAAAAAATAAAAACTGTACCAAAATTAAAAACAGATGTTTAAATTTTTCTGCTGACAGACATTTCTGAAGAGACTTATCATAAAAAGTAACACTGAGGTGTGTAAAATGCCTCAAATGCTTCAAAGGCTTTAAAATGTCAGAAATGTTTCAGAAATGTCAGAAACGTTATTTTAACTGGATAAGATTAAAGAATTATAACAAATTACAACAGATTATGTATTTTTATTATGAGAAAAATTTGTTATTTATATTTAGCATGACAGTGGAATTGTTTCCTGGCATGACACATCCTAATATTCCATATTATTTAAAGGAGCACTCCACTATTTTTGAAAATAGGCTCATTTTCCAACTCCCCTAGAGTTAAACAGTTGAGTTTTACCATTTTCGAATCCATTCAGCCGATCTCCGGGTCTGGCGGTAGCACTTTTAGCTGCAGCTTAGCATAGATCATTGAATCTGATTAGACCGTTAGCATCTCGCTCAAAAATGACAAAAGAGTTTCGATATTTTTCCTATTTAAAACTTGACTCTTCTGTAGTTACATCGTGTACTAAGACCGACGGAAAATGAAAAGTTACGATTTTCTAGGCCGATATGGCTAGGAACTATACTCTCATTCCGGCGTAATAATCAAGGAACTTTGCTGCCGTACCATCGGTGCAGCAGGAGTAATGATATTACGCAGCGCCTGAAAATAGTCCCCAGCTAGGAAACATAAGGAGATGCTAACGGTCTAATCAGATTCAATGATCTATGCTAAGCTAAGGCTAAAAGTGCTACCGCCAGACCCGGAGATCGGCTGAATGGATTCGAAAACGGTAAAACTCAACTGTTTAACTCTAGGGGAGTTGGAAAATTAGCCTATTTTCAAAAATAGTGGAGTGTTCCTTTAATGATATCTAAAGAGTTCAGAAACTATTATGTTATACAAAAATGTTATAAAATATGCCAATTTTACACAGTATCAATAACAGAAGAATTCATGAATTTTTACTTACTAATGTAAGTAATCAGCAAAGACACATTTATAATATTAGTATACCATGGTACTGAATAAGTGGCATGTTCACGCACCGCAGAATTCTGTCCGAAAATACATGGTAGTAGCATTTTGTCACATTTTTCTTTTATCACACTCTTAAAAATAAAGGTACCAAAGGGAGGTTTCACAGTAGGGCCTTTCGCACCGCTTTAGTTCCAGAACTAAATGTATACCATAAAAGAACCATTTTCAGTCCCCCGCCCCCCAAAAAAAAACTTTCAGTGAGCAGTTCCTAAAAGAACCATATTTTCGAAGAACACTTTAATAATCTTTAAAAAAAATACAATTTTCCCCTATAACGGAATGGTTCCATGGATGTTAAAGGAACCATCGATTAAAAATAAATGTTCTTTATTGGCAGTGTGTAGTGTCATACCAGTAATATGAAAGATAAAAGTTTTAGGTTTATCTACAGGAAACTGCAAGCATAAATGCTTTGAGGTCAACAATAAAGACGCAGGTGATGGTTTCGTTTAAGACCTTTAACTGCTCATATCCTAAAGTATGTGGAAGTGAAAGTCATGGAATGATAAAGAAAAACCCTTCAATTATGAATCAACATTGATTGAGCTCATAAACAGCTCTTTGCTGGAATGACTATGGTGGCGTAAATATGGAAATATGGCATTGATAACAAATTTATGAGTTAAAGGAATAGTTCAGCAAAAATGAAAATTTACTGAAAATGTACTCGCCCTCAGGCCTTCATCAGAACAGATTTGGAGAAATGTAGCTTTACATCACTTGCTTACCAATGGATCCTCTGCAGTCAATGAGAGTCCAAACAGCTGATAAAAACATCACAATAATAATTCACAAGTAGTCCACACAACTCCAGTCTATAAATTAACGTCTTGTGAAGCAATAAAATCTATCATTAAGATGTTTTAACTTTAAACTGTCCCTTCTGGTCAAAATACGAGTCCATAATCCACAATAACGTTTCTTCCAGAGCAAAAAGTTCATCCCCTGTTGTCCTCTCACATCAAAATGCAATGACATATTTGTTTAGAACTGTTTGGGTTGTTTTGTTGTTTGTTTTTATCATGGATAAAGGATTTTAGCCGAAAGCAATGGTTAAAAAAATTGCTTAATTATGGACAAACACACAGCTATTTGCTTCAAAAGATGTTAACTGATAGATTGGAGTGGTGTGGATTACTTGTGGATTATTGAGATGTTTTTATCAGTTTGGACTCTCATTCTGACGGCACCCATTCACTGCAGAGGATCCACTGGTGAGCAAGTGATGGGCTTAATTATGGACAAACACACAGCTATTCGCTTCAAAAGATGTTAACTGATAGATTGGAGTGGTGTGGATTACTTGTGGATTGAGATGTTTTTATCAGCTGTTTGGACTCTCATTCTGACGGCACCCATTCACTGCAGAGGATCCACTGGTGAGCAAGTGATGCAATGCTACATTTCTCCAAATCTGTTCTGATGAAGAAACAAACTCTTCTACATTATGGATGGCCCAAGGGTGAGTAAATTCTCAGTTTACTATTTTCTTAAATGCTCTTAAAACAATCAAGAGGAACACAATCTCCTCAATGTCTGGGTTCAATCACAGGCACTGGTACCTGAACCAAACATGGCTACAAAGAAGGTGCGATACTCAGCCGCCCCACACAGGCAAGTAAAACCCAATGGGACTAGACCAATGAGCCCGGGCAGGTTGACTAATATCTGGGGAGAAACGGTTAATTACAACAGAAGTTCTCCACTTGGGAGGTGAGGAGATAATTGGTTCTGTAACAACTCCCTAAAGGTTAAAGGCAAGGAGGACGGAAAATAATACAGAACGCTCCGCATCAAACCCTACCAGCATCAGCAGGACACAACGTTACACCATAAAACACATGGTTTGTCAAGCAGCTGCACGGCTCTCGTCAACACTTTGAGCTGTACAGGTGAAGCATTATTACTCCGAGATGGAAGAAACACTCTCAGCAGCATTTGCGTCAGAGGAAAACAACAAAACAGGACATTTTCCAGGCATTTACTCAGGTCTTCATGGAAATATCCACACTGATGCCAGACACAGATCAGATCTGATCAGATATTTGGTATGAAAGACACATTTACTGTCTGACCAGCACATGCACCTTTTAGTCTCACATTTAACCTATGATTTACACAAATCATTTACTGGAGGCTATCCTGTGTCCTGCATATCTATAGAAAGAGCTAGACGTCATTTATTGCCCATTCAAAAGAGAGGAAACACTATCAGCGTGAACACGACCAGAGCAAACGCATCTTTGTTTAATATTTGCATTTTAAAACGTCGTTTAGCGAAAATAAGAGGGTTATTGTGGGGTAAACGTGTGCTACATGCTATCTGCCTTCCTTCTCTTCACAAGACAAAGCAATTGCAAAAAGTCAGACGTCACCTTTAAGGATTTTACACTCTGATGCAATGCTCTGATGATTAGAATGCATAAATGTGTGCGGAATGATGGGAATACAATGGTTTCGCGTGGTAATTTCACATTCCTCCATACAGCCTGTGGGACACGAGTTTGAAACCCAACACCTCTGCTGTCACCTCTGAGGGAGACAGTAAAACATCTTTCTGTAGGATATATGAATTTAAACGCATTTTTCTCACATGTGCATGACATTTGGACACATTTAAGCCAGATGTGTAACAAAATGTCAGACTTTAGGGTGAGAATAATGAACGGTGATCCGTCTATTTGACAAAAGCGTGGTGACTCGGTCCAATCTGAGGAAAAACACACACAACAAGACGACTCTCATGGCTGCACGGTTTAACCGTTATCTGAGAACAAGCGCCTGAAACACTCATCTATCATCTCTAGAAAAATATCTGCTGAATTTCGGGATTATTTGCAACCGCTGCTGCTTTAAAAACAACAATAAAAACAGGACCGCTCGAGAAAACTCTTGAACGTTGTTTCCGTTACATATAAAAACGGATACATTATTTCAAAACAAACCGCGGCTGGATACAAAGTTGCAACTTCGGGCCAATGTAACAAATCACATTTAAAAAACAAAAACAAAAAAACACGTTGTTCCAACGCTGGTTTCTTACCTTTCTTGGCGGAGGCTGCATGTTTGAACATTGGCACAAATAAAGTAAAATCCCAAAGAAATGATTCCCAGAGCGATCGGGATGGATGATTGAGAAAAGGGGATCAGACTGGGATTTGGATCTGAATTCAGACGGCCATGATGAAGCAGATCCAGTCGGGCAGACGCTCAACAAACACTGCGGATCAGGGAAGAAAGTAATGAAAGAGAGAATATGCCTCCAAATATGAGTCTCCAACCGTGAAATCCAGCCCAACAGCGCCCCGGACCGGACACACCGAACCCCGCTGGACGAACCCTACTACGGGGAAGGATCAGCTCATGAATATTAATTACGTAACGGGACGTTCCCTCACTAGGCGAACCCGATTGGCTTACGATGGCGCGTGGGCAATGGTCAGCTGGTTATTTGAATATTAATGAAGTTATGTGATTGGACAGTTCAAGAATGCGCCAACGGCGAATGGAGTTCATTACTATTCACAAACTAGGCCTTTGCCATAGTAAAGTTAGTACATTTCGCAATCCTAATCATTCTTTATCCAGAGGATGAAAACAAAACAAATTTTGATTTACTTCTGACAGAGTTGCAAAATTAATTATCGACTGTAGAATTTGGTAGAAAATAGATATCAAATGCATAAAATAATTATTCGAACAGTTCTGGAATGTCTAACACATCTGTAGCATCGACATATAAAGCCACTAAATCTTGCAGGGCTGAACATGAAGCTACACCTTCAAAGATTTATTTGATTTTTCTTGGAATGTGTCATAAAGGTCCTTAAACTTGTGCCTTGTGTAATTGCAATATTGATCATATAAAATCCAATAAAATTCACTGGATGTTACGCAATGATGCATAACAATAATCAGATCTAAGAATCTCATAAAATGGATTCTAATACCATGGTCAACCTCCTATTTATTTCTAACATACAGTGATTTTATTCTTTTGATTTTTTCCCCACAATGTAAATCTCTCTGAATAAGCTGGGGCTAGTTGTCACAATGAAGAAATTAATGAAAGAACAGTCAAAACTACTACTCAGACTTTATGATGACTATTTTCTACATGTTAGAGTGATGAAAAACCTGAAAGTCTGAGAATTATATAAAGATCAAAATGCGTGACACAAATGAAATCTCTCTTATATTTGAGCTTCTTCTTTGTCTAGATGCCAGTTCTGCTCACTTTGGACATCAGCCAACTATATGAGGTGCATCCTGGGACACTTTTGAAGCATCTATTGATTGTAGGCCTGTCCTTTAAGCCAAGGGGTCATATGATGCGATTTCAAGTTTTCCTTTCTCTTTGGAGTGTTACAAGCTCTTGGTGCATAAAGAAGATCTGTAAAGTTGCAAACACTAAAGTCTCAAATCCAAAGAGATATTCTTTATAAAAGTTAAGAGTCAGCCACGCCTACCTAAAACGGCTCGTTCTAACACGCCCCCACACTGTAAACCCGAACAGTACTACTAACTTATAAAGATTAAGAACACTGCAATTATTGCGTGCACATTTGGGCGGCATTATGCTAATATTTCCACATAGTGAGGTAGATATGTGGGGGCGTGTTAGAACGAGCCGTTTTAGGGGGGCGTGGCAGAGTCTTAACTTTGATAAAGAATATCTCTTTGGTTTTGAGACTTTAGTCTTTGCAACTTCAGGGATCTTATCTATGCACAATCAGCTTGTAACACTCCAAAGAGAAAGGAAAACTTGAAATCGCATCATATGACCCCTTTAAACCGCATAAACACATTTCATTACACCAAATACACCAAATAATGTTCTTTTTAGCAGCATCATATGACCCCTTTAACACTCGTCTGATCATCCTCATATTTTATTTTATTTTTTAAAGAAATGTATACATAATCTGCCACTTAAGTTTGTACATTTTAAGGTTTTTAAGATCATGAGAAATATAAATTCAGTCAAGTGTGCCCAAACATTTGTTTTACGTGCAGAGACTGACCACATAAAGTTTAACTCAGGTTCATAACTCCGCTTACTAAGGGTAATAATTAATACAGTATTGTGAGGCAAGTAAGACAGCAACTGAACACCTTGACGTTCTTTCTTTCCTTCACAGTAACAGAGTCACAGAGGAAGGATGGCGGACCTCGTGTAAATCTGATGAAGCCTGTTTTGTCCTTGTATTGGAACTGTGAAGGTCTCAGATGAATTCAAACTGAGAGGAACAGAGGAACAGGTCAGTACAAAGCTTTGCTGTTTTTTTGCATTCAATTCATTAGGTTTTGTCAGTGTGTAAAATATTTTGTTGTATTTGTACTGTAAAAAGAGTTTGTCAGGAAACCAAGCAATATGCCTCATGTGTTAACATCTAAACTATGGTTTTATTCAGTCTACTGTATATACCGTATGAAATCAGCCTGATTACTTTAGATAACATATTTGAAGAACATAACAAAAAGTATAATTTAAAACAGAATGATCAACAGCACAATACTAAGAATCCTTTTTTCAAAGAAAATTGCTATATATTTTAGAACATATATTCCCTGAACGAACGAATTTCCAGTTTCTTTTGGGTTGTGTGAAATTCTCTTCACTGTACTGTTGGGCAAGACGTTAATTATTGATAATTAGCATACGCCTTTCTCCTTTGCCAAACTCTGCAGGGTTCTCGCCAAGGGTACTATTCTGAAACATGTTAAAATGCAAAGCATGGTGTGTTTTTTTCAGTATTATTGATTTGAATAGATTACTGAAACATAATCTTGATAAACAGATGGGATTTCAGTTGTAACCTTAAAGAAATATTTCACACAACAATGAAAATCTTTTGGAAATCACCCTCAGGCCATCCAAGATGTAGATGAGTTTGTTTCATCATCTGAATCAACATTGACTTATATGAATCAACATTGACGTAAAATTATAAGTTTGTTCTGGAATGACTAGGGAGGAGCAACCATCAGGAACTCTAAAATAAACGTGGTTACAGGAAATATGGCACTGATAACAACGACGTTATGAGTTAAAGGAAAAGTTCACCCCAAAATGAAAATGTGCTGAAAATACTCACCCTCAGGCCATCCAAGATGTAGATGAGTTTGTTTCTTCATCAGAACAGATTTAGAGAAATGTAGCATCCTATCACTTGCTCACCAATGGATCCTCTGCAGTGAATGGGTGCCGTCAGAATGAGAGTCCAAACAGCTGATAAAAACATCACAGTAATCCACAAGTAATCCACACCACTCCAGTCCATCAGTTAACATCTTGTGAAGTTAAAAGCTGCCTGTTTATAAATAACAAATCATTAAGAGTTTTTTTTTTACTTCAAACAGCTGCTTCCAAAAAATGAGTCCATAATCCATACTATTGCTTCCTCCAGTGAAAAGGATGTCTCATCTGAACTGAAGTATTGAGAAATATTGAGAAATATTCACAGATTAAACACCATTTAGAAGCGAAAAACAGCTGTTTGGACTCTCATTCTGACGGCACCCATTCACAGCAGAGGATCCACTGGTGAGCGAGTGAAGTAATGCTAACTTTCTCCAAATTTGTTCCCATGAACAAACAAGCTCATCTATATTTTGAGTTAGCCTGAGGGTGAGTACATCTTAAGCACATTTTAATTTTTGGGTGAACTATTCCTTTAAAGTGACTGTTATAAACCTTCCTCCCAGCAGTCATGCTGTGTGAGGCTTCCAGAATGATTGACATATTATTGGCTGACGCTGTGGCCTATAAGAGCAGGCTGAGGCATGTAAACACACCCACAGCGGATATATGCAGAATAAACAGGCAGAGGTAAAGCAGGTCTATGTAGGTATGCAAACTGAAAGGAGGCACATCTGTTGCTGAAGGAGCCACTGAAAGTATCTGTGTGAGTTGCTTTTAATTTTGCATGATTCTTGAACATCAGTATAACATGCATTACTATTTGTATCATTAAGTTTTTTAATGAGCTTGCACTGTAAAATGATTGTCAATATAAAAAATTTAAAAAATCAGTCCAAAGAGAGAGCAACTAAATTATGCATTCATAAAAGTCACAATCTGTCTGCTTAACATAAAACTGTTGAGATGCCTAATAGCTTTTGTTCAGTAGTTTAAGTTACATCAAATGTCATTAGACGCAGATATGATCTATAACAAACACTGAACGACGTTCTGAGGAAATTCTAAGTGAGTTCTCAGCTACTTTATGGCTTTATTCAGTGCATTGATCGATATGTGTTGGTCTGTGTCATTAATGAAAGCACAGTAAGGGGTGTGTGATGACCAGAAAAAGCATTTAGTGCAACTTTAAAAGCTCATTTTCTGCATTGGGCTTTGAAAAACAACTGGAAACACTTGTATGCTGATATATACAGTACTAGCTAATGCATGCTGGTTTTTTTTTTTACAAAATGTCTATCAAAATTCTAACTTAAATGCACAACAACTAGGTTTATAAATTTATCAATAAATCCATGAATCAATCTCATTCATTTTAACTTATTAAATATTGCTTGTTTGACAGATGTTATGTATATCATTTGTATACGTTGTCCCCTCAGTCCTGAATTTCACATCTTATTCTTCAGATATGATTGATTTCATTGTCTTTCTCTCTGACAGATCTGGATCAGAATGGCGATATTTAACAACACAACCACAACTAACATCAGCGATCGTTATCACTGTAAGATAGAAGAACACTTCAAGTACATTCTCCTCCCGGTGAGTTACTCTCTGGTGTTTGTGTTCGGTCTGGGGTTGAACATCACGGCCATGTACGTCATCCTGTTCCGAACCAAACACTGGAAGCCCAGCACCATCTACATGATCAACCTCAACGTCTGCGACACGCTTTACGTCCTCACTCTGCCGTTCCTCATCTACTATTACGCTGATAAGAACGACTGGCCGTTCGGTGAGCTGATGTGTAAGCTGATTCGCTTTCTCTTCTACACAAACCTCTACGGGAGCATCCTCTTCCTCAGCTGCATCAGTCTGCACCGGTTTTTAGGCGTCTGTCATCCGGTGCGCTCTTTGTACTGGATGAATGGCCGTCGCGCTCGTTTGGTTTCTGTGGGAATATGGGTGATCATTCTCATCTTACAGGCACCCATTCTTTATTTCTCCAGGATGAATATTAACGGTGACATGAAACCACAATCAACGGTTTGCTATGACACCACAAGCAAGGAGCTCTTCAATGACTTTATCGTTTACAGCTCGGTGGTGATGTTCCTGCTTTTTGTCATACCGTTTGGGGTGGTGCTGGTCTGCAACGGCCTGATGGTGAAGAAACTTCAGGAACCCGGTATTGGTGGAGGTCCAAAGTCACAGCGCTTTAAGCAGAAGTCGGTGAAGATGATCATAATTGTGCTCCTGGCTTTCATGTTGTGCTTCTTGCCTTTCCACGTGAACCGCAGTATATACTACACCTTCCGTTACCTGGACAAACATGTGAGCTGCTCGATGCTGGAGGCTGCCAGCATGGCCTACAAGGTCACGCGACCTTTGGCCAGCGCCAACAGCTGCATCGACCCCATCCTTTACTTCATGGCAGGACAGGGCTTCAGAAGCAGCATCAAGAACAAGAGAAGTAAATCAAGGTCTGAAAATAGGAAATCACCCTCAACCTCTTTATAGTGTGCTTGAGGGAAAACGAAATGTAAAATGTTTTTGAATGTTGATGAAATGTCTGAATACAAAAAACAAATCTTAAAAGTAGCTCCTAATAAGGAACCACTTGGTGTTGTATAAATAGAAGGACCTTGTGAGATTTTATAGAACGTGAAGGACAATATTGCTATATATATCTGCTCTTTGACCAGAGAACGTGCTGCGTTCTATTCATGCTGCATAATGGTGGCGAAGTTCTAAACTCCGCTTCTGTTTAGGAACCTTGCAAACTGACACTGTGCCTGAAGATTCATGGGAATATAGGTTAATTAAGTGTTTATGAAAAGGTGTGTCAGGACGGTTAGTATCAGCACTACACTCACTGGAATTTGGTTCAGTTCCGGGATATCGTTCCAGGACACGAAATCAGCTGTCTTAACATGCCTTTGATGAGATCGGGGAGTCAAGACAGTTGTTATGGTCAGTTAAAACTAAAACTGAAAGTAAAAATATTAAAAACTGAAATAAAGCTGAAACAAATAAATAAATATTAGATGCAAAACTTCTAAAACTTAAACAGAAATTAGAAATGTCACATTGGGAATTAAATGTTTCATTTGAAATACTATATCTTTTTAAAACTAGAACTGAAATAAAACTAAATTAAAGCTAGAAGTATTTAAACATAAAATGACTAAAACTTAAAATAAAATTAAAATAAAAACTATAGATAAATAAAGAAAATATAAAAGAAAAGTTCATTCATAATGTTAATACTATATAAATAACATTAAAATAAGACTAAGTCCATCTTCAGTTCAAACACAGCATTGCTGAATCAGAGAAAACTGCATGTCAATAGATTAATTAACAATGATATCGATGGTAAAGGAGAGGTTGAACATAGATAACATTTCATTTGAGTCGAAGTGTCTAAACTAATAACGGGCTGTGTGATTTATAGTTTTATATTCATTGCAGTGATAATAGAAAAAAATCTAAGAGGCTGTTTGTCATCCATCTATTTGTTATTGTGTATTATCAAATCATGTACTTTTATCAGCAAAGTAAAAACAATCAAATAAATAAATACAATTTTGAATTGGGAATTTTGGATGCAATAGGATATAGACTGCACATAAAGTCAGTCTGTCTATGCTTGGTCGAATATATGTTGTTGTGTAGGGCAAGACCTGTTTATAGTTTTCAAGAAAATAAACATATGAGTGGCTTACTTGTAGATGTCTCTGCTTATTAAACTGTGATAGGAAAGTATTTTAAGTTACATGGGACACTTCAGCTTTAAAGATGATCTGGTTATAGAATGCGGTCACTTCTGTAAATAACCCAACTGTGTGTGAGCATAACCGTATTAAAGATTAAATATGAAGACTTGTTTTAAAGAATATACTTTTTCTTGTTTTAAACAAACCTAACAAATTATGCTTAAAACAAGACAATGAATCAATAAATAAGCTATCGATAAATAAATGTCTGAAGATATATGTGTAAATATTAAGAAAACTGTACATCATGTGGTTTAAATACCAAGAAAATCAATAAATGTGTTATATAAATAACTAGTTTATGTAAATAAGTAGCCTGTACACTTAAGGTAATATCATCCGTGTCCATGCTTTCACGGGACATTAAACCCATGACATTGGCATTGCTAGCACCATACAATACAATTTCAATTTAAACCACATGAACGGTGACTTTTCTCTGGTCAGTTACTGTCATTCTGAACATACAATAGCAGTATTGTTTGAAATGATAAACTGGCACTTTTTAAAGATGGAAATCATATTAGATAGTTGTGAAGTTTAATAATATATGTGCTACTTTGGTTTAAGCAAATGTTGACATTTTCTGTCATCCTGGTTTGCAGGATGTTGTAAAATAAAAACCGGCAATTTATTAAGAAATTTCAGGTGTTTCTTAAATTCTTTTTCTTTGTCTAATCGAAATGTTTCAAACGAAACATGTTTTCTTTAGAAATAGATTAAGTTTTCATCTTTTTAATTTGTAATTACAGTATCACTTTCCATCCAGCACTTTCAGAAATAAAGGTGCAGAACTGTCACTGGGACGGTAATACTGTATGTACCTTTAAAGTATTATATGTATAATTTGGTGGTAAATAAAGCACACAATTTTATTTTTATTTTATTTATTTTTACATTTTTTTAGCTTTTGTAACTTTGGCCATTTTACTTTACATCACCCTACATTAGCTAAACATTCCTATACTGTAACTTATGTCATTGCATTGCTTGCACATATGTGTATGTTAGTCTAAATTTGGAACAATATTAGGGGCAGACTGCCCCAAATAAGTTAGTCATCAAATTTTGTTTTTTTAAACTGGTCATATTTTTTTTTATTTGGTTACATGAAAATATAGATTAGTCTAAGTTTAATCCAAAAAACAAGACTGATTACCCCTTGGCTAACTGCTAGTTGGGCAGACTAGTTCTTTAGTCTTAATGTAGAGGCTAAGTTTATGCAACTGGACTCTTGTCACTCTTATCTAATTAACCAACCCGATCTCATGAAAGTGCGTATAAATAGTACGCCAAATAAACACGAAAACTCGTGGTATTGATATGCAAAAATGGACTTTGGCGTGTATATGCTATGCGATGGGTAGGTTTAGGGTTGTGGGGTAGATCTTTACTAGTTACTTGAAAAAAGTAATCTGATTATATAACTTGCGTTACTTGTAATATATTACCCCCAACACTGGTAATGAAGCAAAATGTCTAACGTTAACTTAAACAGTGACTCTGTCATGGACATGGTTCAGAAAACCAAAACCCGATGGTAAACCACTTACTTCAAATAAGCAATGAGGTAAACCGGACGAGAAGCACCACGCCGTCATGTTCTCATGTTAAGGAAGAGTCAAACATCTAATCTCTGAAACTAATTACCTTACAGGCAAAAAGTTCACCAGGCCTAATGTATAATAGAACATTTCTATACACGCTCTTCCAGCCTAGGGTGAAGTCATTATGCAATTGGAAAACGATGTGAGTGGCGCCAAAGACTTTAGATATTCAGAACAAAGACGGTGCACTATTATTATTTTATGAATGGGAGAGAATCCAACGCGCAATATGGCGAAGAACCGCCTTCAAAATAAAAGAGCCAATTACTGCAGCCGCTGTTAGAAACTCCAATAATTGCGAGTTCCCAGTATATACTTTTAACCGGAACACTCTCCCAAGTTGGAGTTCTGACTCGAATCTCAACAACTCCAACTTCAGAGTCCAATATGGCTGCTCAGTGCATCAACAGAAGAGAAACACTAATAATATATTGTTTATTAGCACTTGTGTTTGTCTGTGTGTCAGTAAACTCAGTGGTGCACACAGTAGGTCTACTATCCAGCCTCTGTTTGTGAATATGATACTGTGGCGTTATCTGTGCAAAAATACCAAAAGACTTTGGTGGCACATCATGATTTTGAACAGCTCTGTGCTTCTATAGTCTATATAATATTAATCAATGTTAATATTCTCTTAATATACAATTTTAATACATCAACACATCAAAATAAATACTTATTTCTCATGAGGTGAAATTAAATGGACCTTTTTCGCATTTCCGGGTTTATCAGTAGAGGAAGTCATCGGGTAAACTTCTATAGCGGCAAATGGGAGACTTCATCAAATATATATTTTTTGTGTTTCCATTTGGTCAAATAGCAAAAGAAAAATGACAAAATAGTGTTTTCATGACTTTTAAAAAGAGGGGGAAAATCTAGAGTGGGACTGATAACGGCAGACAGAAGAAAAAGCAATGTCAAATTTACCTTCACTCCAAAACACGCTGTATTAGAAACACCCTCACAGCAGCGATACCTAGCTTTGGTATGAAGTGTTAGAAATGTACATTGTACATACAATTTAAAAAATGAATATATTAAAAACTTTGTGATCCTGATGACTGCTAAAACGCGTCATCACAGTCTGTAAAACTGGTCCATCATCAAACCAGCAGACCAGCAGCAAATGAAATTTTGAGGGATACCCAATCAGATCACTGTCACTGTTCATAATGCAATCTGTTTACGTATTGTTTATTAAAATAGCTGGCAGTACATTCCATACACAGGCTGTTTTGAGTTATTGCTCTGACAAACCAATAGCTCAACCAGCTCAACCAGAAGCGTTTTTGGAAACCTGTTTACCTCTAGTGGAACTTCTTGAAAAAAAAAACATATGGAGTGATTGATAGGCCATTGACTGATGCTCTGACCAATGCGAGCAGGCTTGAGGCGTGTTGACACGAGTAGTCCCGCCCACAATGAAGAAACCCAGCATGAACAGGCAGAGGAACAGCAGAACTGTGCAGGTTTGAAGAGCTTGAGGGGACATTCCTGAAAAAATCTGCTGAAAACATGTGAGTATGTGACATACTTTATTCTTTGCTTTTCTTTTGCATGTTGACAATCATGTCTATCAACTGAATGTGTAACTTACAAAAATATGCAATGTTTGGACTTCACTGTGATAGATGAAACTATCAAGATGTGGTAGTCTGTGGAATATATACTGCATTTTTACATTTATTCATTTAGAACAGTGGTTCCCAACCCTGGTCCTGGAGGCACCCCAACACTGCACATTTTGCATGTCTCCTTTCTCTGACACACCAATTTCAGGTCTTGAAGTCTCTATTAATGAGCTGATGATTTGAATCAGGTGCGTTTGATTAAGGAGACATGCAAAACATGCAGTGTTGGGGTGCCTCCAGGACCAGGATTGGGAACCACTGATTTAGAAGAGGTCTCTCTCCAACGTGACATCTAAATAATGAATGTTACGACACCAACGATTCATCCTAAAAACACTGTACCATTAGAAAAAAGTCAAAACTGTAAGGTTCCGAAATAGGTTCAAACTTTAAAAAGTATGCAGTTTATGAAATTCTGAATTCTAAAAAGATTTGCTTTAAGATTCCTAGATTCTCAAATCGTGCTGAATAACACGATCAGGTTTTGGTTATGGCAGCATTTGATAATATATAATTTGTAATGAAAAATATTTCTTTATTTTTAAAGGTTAAAGTGTGGGAAGTGCCTGGAGGCTTTTTGTGAAATTAGCCGTCATTGAAACATTATCTGAGAAAGTTCTTAGAAAATTCTCAGGAGGTTTTCAAGATACTCTGTGGTTGATTTGCTTCATTGATTGATATGATGCACTATTCTCTGGCATAAATGAGAGCGCTGTTAAGCTGTGTGATTAGCAGAAAAAAACATCTGTACTTCTTCATAAGCTCATCTGTTCGTCCCCTGAGTTTGGAAGAAACCATTAGAAATTACTTCAACACTCTGTTAAGAACGATGTTCCAGGAATATTTGTATAGGCTGTCATACGCACAACAGTATTAATATGGGTGTGTGCAGTTTGTGGACATTTACCACCTCTTAGAGATGTACATGTGTGGTGTATGTATAGGAGCCCAGACAGACGCCACAATGAACACTTGTTCCATTTAACTATTGCAACATGATGACATCCAGTTGTTCAAGCTAGAT